TAGACAGTTTTCTTGGTCAGCAGTCAGCTCCACAACTGCAGGCTCAAGGACCTTTTCAATCACCTACAAAAGACTCACCAGGGGTACTGCAGGGAAAGAATCAAAGTTCTCCATTCTTTACAATGGCTTCCCCATCATCATCTGGTCAAGATGATTTTCTGTCACCTGCAACAACAACTCAGAGTGTGGCAAGTAGTTTTCCCAGTCCACAGGTTCCTGCCACAAAATCCCCCTACCAGCCATCAACAGCTGTGGGGTCTGGGCCTCAGACTCCTCCAAGACCATCAGCTGATCTTCCCCAGTCTTTTCCTCCACCGCCAGCCAGTCGGTTCCAGTCTCCACCTCCACCTGTGACCAACCTGCCCCAAACTTCACCTATTCCGTCCAGCAGTCTGCCCCAGACCCCACCTCAGCCTGCGGCCAGCTGGCCTCAGACCCCACCCCAGCCTGCTGGTGGTTGGCCACAGACTCCACCGAATGCAGCAAATTTATCCCAGTCCACATCGCCACCTTTTGTTCCGCGCACCTCTCCTCAACCCTTGTCACACTCCTCATCTCCTCAACAAGTGCAAAGTGGCATGCCACCTAGTGTGACACCGGCTGCTACAGTTGAACCTATCCAACCACACTGGTTTTACAGGAAAGGAAATTCTGCCTGGATGCCATTTTCATATATTGATTCTGATTGCCTGGAGCAGGCTTTGAAAACATCTTCAGCCAGTGGGGACAGAATTGTTGCCACAGATGGGGGACGATATGATGTTAACCTGGACAAGAGGCTGCGATACCCTCTCTACTGGGAGGAGGATGTGTCTGTGGTGCGGCGATGCTCATGGTATTACAAAGGAGATGCACAGTCCAAACTTGTGCCTTATAAGGAAGACATGGCAGCTAGACTTGAGGTACTTTTAATTGACTCTAAATATAATTTTCAGGAATACAGGTAGTTTTTCTGCTAACTTAACTTGGAGGGAACTCAGGTGTATTGGTGATGGGGAGGTGTGGATGAAGCTAATTTAATCAGGCAATCTGATTAAACCAGTTCTATTAGGTTTAAACTGAAGCCAACAATGTAACAAAACAAACCTGTAGACAGTGCTGTGTTTGGACTAGAATGATCAGTGTGCTGGGAAATTCTGGGAGACTTCAGTTTGCCAAGTTGTTGCCCCGGCTATCAGAGGTTTTCTTCTGACTGTGTATGAAAAGCCTCTGGTTCCCAGGATTACATGCATGATTACATGTAAATTAGTTACTACATTTGCATTACACCAATAAACAACCCTGAAAATCCACAGAATCCCTTTTCATTGACAAATGAAACAAGACTAAAATAACGGTAAAATAATAATGCTATGATCTTCTGAAAATTAATTTTAACACATAACAAATTTATTTACCTCAAAATTGTATTTCCCTCACACTTTCATACCATTTACTGATCTATGTTGCTGGTTTGTTTTGCAAATGAGAATTTCAAGCATACAGGATTGAACTTGAAATGGTCTGCAATGCCACATTTTGTCCTGACATACAGTGTACTTAACCTTGGCAGAAACTCTGCTGCCATATTTACACTGTTGTCCATTAGTTAATTGTAAAAACTGTAAATGTCCCATGAGGGAGTCAATTTTTCTTTGCATACATGTTTACTTATAAAATGTAAATATGAAAAGTAAAGTTGGAAAGAGACTAAAACTCCCAGGACTGTTTACAGTACACTTATTAGAAACACTGCTTGACTTTAAAGTAATTTAATAATGCAAATTTCCATGCTGTTTACACACGGTCATTTCAGGCTGAATTTCTTTCAACATTTCGTGAGAACAAGTGGCCTCGCAGAGTGGAATTATCAGATGGAGAGTACATTATGATGCACAATGCTAATGTTATGGTGCATTTTGTGCCAAATAATGAGTCGGAAAACTGGAGTGGAGAGGATACTGTAGCAAGGCCAAAGGTTGTCAGGCGAGGAGTGGCAGATAT